CCAGCGTATTGTGATGCAAGCTTTCTGATGGATGCTGACCTGAAGATCTGGGAATTGAAAGGTCTTCATGCTGGCTTGGAGACTGAAATAGCAAATTGATGTCAGAGCAAGGAATACAACTGTGGGCATCAGGTGCCATCATTGGGTTAGTCTGTGTGGTGAGGTTGGCATCAGAGCCCTGGCTGATTAAAAATTGGTTTGTGCACACACAGGCCCCTAAGCCAGGCTGGGTTACCAGGGCAGAATGATCTGGGCTTTGTGAAAGAATTGGTGGAGTGACGCATGAATCTTTCCTAGAACAACGTGCCAACAGTACAGGCTCTAAAGTGGCGTGTTGGGTATTTTTTATGAGTCCCCTCACCCCACACTGGTTTCTGAAGAGTGACACTCCAAAAGAAACGATAGTTTTCGAGAACCAGGAGCCACTTGAGATGAGAAAGGAAAGGTGGGAATGGGGGTACCTGGAGCTGAGCTGTGACGGCCTGTCAGCCGCACTGAGGCGTCTGATGGTGTCTTGTTTCTCACAGAGGAGACATGGCTCTGAGGAAGATCCTCCTGCAGGGGCTCAGGCTCAAGAATAAGGCTCCTACAGCTGGGCACGGTGTTTGCCGCCATCAGTGGACACGCTGGGCTTCCTCTGCTGGCCGGAGGTTGGCTCTGCATGACTGTGCCTCCCTGGAGGAGGATGCAGTAGTGAGTCAGGATGGCACGGGCTGGGCTGCATGTCCTGGCAGGCACTGTCCAAACAGCTAGCCAGAGGGAGGGGAACTCTTCCCAGAGATCCACCCTGACAACCCAGGGCTGAAGCCGCTGTGCTGGGGCAGGGGAGAGTCCAGAGGGTGTTTAGGCAGAACTCTAGGTAGGTGGTTGGTGGGATGCGCAGCTTTTGCTCAGGAAAAGAGACTCACGGAAGACCTGGGAGACAGGCAGGAGAGAATGGTTGATGACCCAGGGATGAAACATGAGGTCTCGGGTTTGGAGGACTTGAAGGACTTGCTGAGACCATGTAGGGGTCTGGACCGACTTGCTGACAAGCAAGCTTCTTTTGATTGCTTGTGTGTATTTCCACTCAAATGCCAAACATTCTCATTTGTTATTTCTGTACTTAACAGCCTGGGTGGACACAACATCAGAACTTGCAAACCTCATATTTAATTTGAGATGGTAAATAGATTTAGTGTTGAGCCCAATATAAGTGTACCTGCTGATGCCATCTCCTGGTCCTGGAGGCAGCTCTTGTGTCCCAAAACACCCTTGTTGCAAAGATTTTACTGTGAAGCCTGAGGACAGACTAAATAGGAAAAAAAGTTTGCTGAATTTGGGCACATAGCTAAGAGGTTTATGGTACTGAATTGTCCTGTGGACTGTATTAACCTTGATTGGTTGATTGATTGATTGATTGATTGCTTTGAGGTTCCAAATGCATCAAGGTTGATTGTCTTAAGCTATTGAAACTCCCCTAAGATGCGTTATCTCGCCTCTTACTTCCACATTTAGAGAGTGTTCCTGAAATACACGAAGCAGCAGCTGCTTATTGGAACTGGGAGCTTCACATGGGTTTTGAGTTCAACACTTTTACCAGGATGCTTGTAAATATATTGGGTTGTCGGAAAAGTCATGACACATTTTTGCAACGAAAAACATGGAAAACATACATCGTGACTTTTCCAACAACCCGATATCATTTTCTGGAAGAGGTATATTTGTAGTTTTTCTTATAAAAGTATTTCATATCAGTAAATTCATTAGTAAAGAAGGAAAAAATTTGTTGTAATCCTACCACCCAGATAACATGCTGTTAATATTTTAGTAGCTAGCCTTCCAGTCCTTTTATGTATGTTTGATTTAGTGTCCCTTCCACCTAAAAAGGGGGAGGGATCATATTCTTACATAGCATAGTGAAATGTTTGTGGACCACGGGTTTAAAGAGACTCTAGATGGAAAGCAATCTTTTGAGTGTTAGGGGAGGGGATTGAAAGCATTGGACAGGAGCCAGTAAGAACTCACTTTTACCTGTGGATTTTCTGTGACCAGTTTCTTGGTATTTCCTTGGGAGGCCCCTGTGTTTTTCTTTGTAACACAGCTTAATCTCTAGGAAACAGCTACCGCCTGAATACCTGGTTATTAAGGTAACTTTTCCATACCCCAAAGAGCTTTAGTTACACTCAGCTTTTACCTTAATCCTTGTACAGCTCTGCAGGGAAAACCTTACTCAGCTCCGAGCGGTCTTTGCAAGTGGGGCCAAGGAGCCACCCTGAGCCAAAAAAGCACTATGTCACCGGAAGCCCAAGCCCAGAGAACGCAAGGTATGACCTGATAATCAGTAGCCTCAGCCAGGTCTTTGCGAGGGGACCCTAATGTCTCAGGTCTAATAAAGAGTCAGCTGATGCTTTTTAAGAAGAGTGGGGTTAGTTACTCCACTACCCACTTATTCAGGTCTTACTTGGTTCACGACACAGTCCTGGGATTGTGTGGCTGTCTCCACCCGGAGGCCACAGCAAGGCCTTGGTTTTCTCTTTGGCTTCGTGTGCCACCTGGTACCATCTCCTCGGTAATGTTCCCCTAAGAACCAGACTTACCTAAAACCGGTTGGGTGCTCTGAAAGCATGCAAGCTTGTCCCAGCTGAGAGTGCAGGTAAAGGGACCCTGGCTGCCCAGGCCACCCTGCCAGTGATTCAGAAGTTCTCAGATTTGGGGAGCAGGGACTGGAGGTACAACTCTGATTCTGACAAAGAGACATTAAGATACCCTGATAGGTCATTCCACAAACGCTGGAATACCTCCAAATGCTAGGTACTAAGAGATACAGAGCCAAATAGGTCATGGAGGAGAGGGTTGACGTCATTTGGGGACCTGGGAGTTAGGGAATGCATATGGGAAGGAACTGTGCACTTGCCATGTGGAATAGTGAGGCGGTATCTTATTTCCCCATTTTAAAATGTTCAGATTCTATAATTGAGGACTGGTAGCCATCAGTGTTCAATAGCTGACAGGAGGTTTGCTCACACATGGTCACAAAGCTTCTTGGGTTCCTACCAGACTTCTTGAAGATGGCAGAGATGGGTTTAGATGCATGCTTACTCAAGCTACCCAGAGAGGCCACAAAGTCAGGGGTGGAGAAGGAGTAAGGATTTTGTGGTTTCGAGCCACGAGACTTAGTAGGAGGTGGGACAGTGCTTAAGCAAGATTTGCTCCTGGGCCTGGGCTGCAGCATTTAGGCTCAAGTGTTTTAGAAGGACTAGTCCTTGGTCCGAGAACTTGAGGGAAGGGACAGCCCTCTGATGCAGAGTGTCAAGCTTCTGCTCACATCCTGACCTGACAATTTTTCAAAGCACTGGCCCGAAGCTTCTGACTTCTTTCCCTCAAATCAGCTAACTAATCGGCTGAGTGAGTTTAGTTGCAAGTCAGTAAAGAAGAAAAGTAAAGGTCAGGAATAGTTGTCAGGATTGTGACCCCGGCTGGTTAATTAGCTGGAACAGATGGTCTTTGTCACCAGGGGAGGGGGGGGTTGTTCTTGTTGGACTTAGAAAGGGAGTTGGGATGGTGCATCAGAAAATCAGTTGGGGGAAAGATTCGATAAGCAACTCTCCTCAGGCTGCAGATGGAGTTGTGATCATTTGGAACCACACCAGTGCCATTGTGGTTGTCCTTGTTTTATGCACCATGCTTTGCACATCCTGAAGTCCTCTTTTTTTTTTTCTTAAGATTTTTATTGGGGAATCGGGAGAGGGGAACAGACAAGTTGCTGTCCTTTTGTTCTTCAGTCTAGTTGTGGAGGACGTCGCTTCACTGGCCCATGCTGGTATTATCATTGTGCTCTTCCCGGGTGAGACAGATTGGTCGCCGGCCTCTGGACGGCCGCTCATGGCAGCTCACACCGGCTGCCGGCAGCCCACTGCAGCAGGGGCTGCAGCCTACGCCGTCCCCGGCGACTCACTGCAGCCCAGCTCCAGGTCGAGCTGTTGTTCACCATCTTAGCTGCAGAGGGCAGCATCACTGGCCCTCATGTGGGGGATCCAAACCGGTGCCCTGCTGCTCAGAGCTGGCGTCCGAAGCCAGCTCTTAACCAATGCGCCACTCAGCTGGCCCTTTTTTTAATTAGCTGAGCCATCCTGCCACCTGTTGGCAGCTCAGCTCGGGCCAGGCATCGAACTGCTGTTGCTCAGAGCTCGCACTCTTGAGCGAGCTCTTAACCAACTGAGCCACTTGGCTGGCCCCTGAAGTCCTCTTGATTAAAAGCAGGTGTGGTTTTTACATACAGACTCCTGGGACACAATATTTTGCATTTAGGGTTCCAGTTGGACTTTGCTTCCTGTCCAAGGATTGGTTTTTATTGCCCGTCAGTGGTTGGGACCTACTTGGACCTAGGGTGAGTTGAGGAATGAATTTATGTGGTGCTTTGGGCTAATGAAAACCGAGGACTCTGTAGCGAGGAGGACTGTGTGTCTTCACACCAGGACATCACTTTGGGTTTGGGTGGGGATTGTTCAGAGGCAATGTGGGTGCCCCACTCACTCCATAGCAGATGTTTGTAGCTTTGCGACAACTTTTCATACAAAGATCTGGATTTACCGAGGTTCTAAACTAGGAGTCAGTTGTTTGTATCACGGGAAGATAGTTACAAATTCCTTTTGAGGAAGCTCCTTCAGTGCATGTAAAGTGATGTTATTTATAGAATTAGCTGGAAAGCTGTCAAGGTAGAAATGAGCACAGTGTGGGGAAGGTCGGCTTACAGCGGATGCCTGGGAAGCACATGCATTGGGTATGAGGTTTTAACTTGTTCTTTAAGGTCCTTCCCACTTGCTCATGGTCCCGTGAGCCCTTGGTGCGACCCGAGGAGCACCCACATAACCCAAGTGTGTGGGGCTTCTGTGGCTTGTGCACAAAGCTTGCTTACTGAGCTCATGTGTAAGCAGAAAACGGCTTCCTGTGCCTAGTGGTGTCTTAACCCCCCCCGGGTTCCTCAGGCTGATCACTGTCTTCAATTTCCCTGGACACAGGACCTCAGAAGCCATGTCAAAGCCCCACAGTGATGTCGGGACTGCCTTCATTCAGACCCAGCAACTGCATGCAGCCATGGCTGACACGTTCCTGGAGCACATGTGCCGTCTGGACATAGACTCGGCACCCATCACCGCCCGCAACACAGGCATCATCTGCACCATCGGTGAGTGGCTGTGCCCCGTCCCCAGAGCCCAGACTTCACGTGACAGTGAACCTTTTTCTCCTTAAAAGTCTCAATAAATGTAACAAAGTGTGGTGCTGAGGAAGACTGCACAGATTCTTATGGGAACTCAGAGGAAACTGCAGTAGAGACTCAGTATGCTTCATGCTTTCTGTTAAAGGCTGAATTTAGAGGGCGTCCTCCTTAGCACATCTTTCTAGGAGCGTCTCAGAGACCTAGGAAAGATCTTTGTAACATGCTCTGTGTAATCAAGATTCTATGGTGGGACATGAGGCTGGGCTTCAGGGAGAGCAAAGAGACTGGTCAAGCCTTACCTGGGCTTTCCTGATGAGATGGGAGCCTGTAGAATTGGAAAGAAATAGAAGTGTTCCCCAAATCAAGAAAGTGGGCTAGCCCAATAGTAGCCATGTATATGGCCTTTGAAAGAATTTTGAGCTGTTTAAGGGGGGAAAAGTTTAGGGAAAAAATAAAATACCAAAAGTTCTTTAAACTTAAGCACAGTTAAGGTGTTAATCCTACTTTGACTAATTAACACTTAGGGCTTTAAAACTTTTTTACCAGGCCCAGCTTCCCGATCAGTGGAGATGTTGAAGGAGATGATTAAATCTGGAATGAACGTGGCACGTCTAAACTTCTCTCATGGAACTCACGAGGTGAGCCTCTGCTGGCCCGTTTGGCCACTGGGATGGCTTGTGGGAAATGGTGGGGATGAGCCACGGTGGACCGGGCAAGAAAGTCTGGATTTGCAGCCAATGGGAAGATGGCCTTCACTAGCCTCTCCCTGGTCTCCTTTCCCCCTCACTTGCCATTTCAACTGGCTAAGTCTCCTTCAGCAACGAAGAAGACCTTCTTTGGCCATGGCTCCCCTTTACACCTGTGATACAATTAGCCCCACCAAGGGCAGTGACAGGGTTTTACTGGAAACCCATCAAAGCCATGAGGTGTCCTGGCCTCAGGGCTTGACACTCCCGTCCCTGGGTTTCTGTAGCAGCTCGAATTGCAGTGATGAACTGCAGAAAAGATTGCCCTGCAGATTGATTCTGGCCTAGTCTAGACCCAAGATAACTGGGCAGGTCCAGGAGAAGGGTTTCCACTATGGCAAGTTAAGGACTGAGCTTAATGCACTAACACCCCACTCATCAGCATTGTGTTCCCAGCCTTTCCCTTCTCAGGGGTGCTGATACATCAAGATAAACTAAAGTCAATACTTCCCAAGAACATGGTAGTAATATATTTGCGCTGGGGCCGTTTACTAGCTGACTTGACCTGTGGACAGAGGCCTTACCCAGGGACCAGGTGGCAGCTATTGGGAAGCCCTCCATTCCTATTTCTGTTCCTAAGTTCAGAACAAACTCATTTTGAGGAGTGTGGGGGGCTCCCTGAGGGAAAGTGCCTTTTAAAAACCTTTAGGCTCAACCATCGGCCCTGGGATTTCACACTGGCATTGATAGAGGAGGAATGAACGAGGCAAACTTCTTGACTCTGCACTTCCTGATCAGACGAAAGAAATGCTACCCTGTAAGGGCAGGTGGTAAGGGGTTGCCCTCTGGCATTTGGAAGTTGGTGTTTAGACTAAAAATAAAGCCTCAAGAAGTGCAGTCCAAGAGGTGAATTCCTCCTTTGTGGAAACATGAGACTCTTCGTAAGTTCCCTAACCCATTTTCCATAAACAGCCTATGGCCTGGCAGGTGACCAGCCACCAAATGTCATGGGGGCCTGACCAAGTTCAGAGAAACTGCTCAGCAGGCACCTCAGGCAGGTTCAGACACATCCGTAATAGTATTCTGTAATTTTCCAAAGGCAGGGCGGTCCTTAGCAGGAGTCACCAGGAATTACCGCAAGTGTTAGTGTAGCCCAAAGAGCGGCTAAAGACATCACTAAAGATGGGCTCACTATTGATCCCGGCTGCTGGAATGTGCCAGGGTCTCCTGTGTGCAGGCGAAGGAGCAGGAATAGATTTGAAGAAGTTGACCTTTAACTAGGCTTTATTGCCTCTTCCATCCAGTAAAGTAACACCGCACAGCTCCGAAATGGCAAGGGAAGGGCACGTGATGTCTGCTGCACCTGCTGGGGGCACCAGCTCAGGGATGTGCGCCTTTTTAAACTACAGAGGCATTTGGAGATAATCTGTGCTTTAACTCATATTCCCAGATTAGGCTTGGGGTTTAAAAAACAAGCAAAAAAAACCCCACCGGGCCGGCTGAGTGGCGTGTTGGTTAAGAGCTGGCTTGGGACGCCAGAGGGGCCCGGTTCGGATCCCACATATGAGGGCCAGTGACACTGCCCTTTACAGCTAAGATGCTGAACAACAGCTCGACCTGGAGCTGGGCTGCCATGAGTCGCCGGCGACGGCATAGGCTGCAGTCCCTGCTGCAGTGGGTTGTCATGGGCTACTGTGTGTAGCCAGCAGCCGCAGTGATCGTCCGTCCAGAAGCCGGCAACTGATCTGCCTCACCCGGGAAGAGCGCAATGATGGTGCCAACTTGGGCCAGTAAAACAACGTCCTCCATAACTAGACTGAAGAACAAAAGGACAGCAACTTGTCTGTTCCCCTTCCCCAATTCTCCAGCACTGTTCCCATCCCCCAATTCCCCAATAAAAAATAATAAAAAAATCTTTAAAAAAAACCAAAAACCACCAAGTCCCTCTGGTGGGTTTATTTTGAGGTTTTTGTCCAAGAAGAGGTTGCCTCTGGGATCTGGCTTTTGGAAGCTGATCTGAAATGGTTCTAATAATATATTATGTGATGTCTGAGTTTGACCCTGTGTCGGGGCTCTACCAGTGGCTGGGACATGCTTTTACAGCTCTTGACAATTTTAAACACTCTTCTAAGCAGAACACTGAAATTGCTTCTCTCACTCAGACAGGGGAACATCCACTGCCTACGGCTGATCTTTTGACAGCTTCCCCACAGTGTCTCTAGCCCCCACTGTGTCAGTTCACGGGCAAGATGTGTTTTTACTGCATGTGTGGTCCCATAATGCCATGCTGGCCAGAAACACTGACTTACCAAGTTTAGAACCTCTCACAAGGGCAGCATCGATTGATGGAATTCTTTACTACTTCGTGACATCCAGTAAGACCATAGGCATAGTGGAGGACTTGAGTACACCTCCCAGAAATGTACCGAAAGATGACAATATAGAAGATTTGAGTAATAGAATACCTAATAGTCTTAACTGGTGTGTGTATATGATTTTTTATGTCTCCAAGACTAAAAACCTGTGTTTATTTAAAATGCTAATGTTTCAAAAATATATTAAGCCACAAAAAACCCTCAAGTTTCATAAAGTAGAAATTAATAGACTACATTCTCTGACTTCTTTTTTTTTAAAGGTTTTTATTGGGGAATTGGGGAGGGGAACATACAAGTTGCTGTTCTTTTGTTCTTCAGTCTAGTTGTGGAGGATGTCGCTTCACTGGCCCATGTTGGTATTATCGTTGCGCTCTTTCCAGGTGAGGCAGTTGCTCGCCGGCCATTGGATGGCTGCTCACAGCAGCTCACGAAAGCTCACACCCGCTGCCGGCCAGCCCCACTGCAGCCTATGCCGTTGCTGGTGACTCACGGCAGCTCAGCTCCAGGTTGAGCTGTTGTTCACCATCTTTGCTGTAGAGGGCGCAGCGTCACTGGTCCTCATGTGGGATCCAAACTGGGGCCCTGCTGCTCAGAGCTGGTGTCCCAAGCCAACTGCTAACCATCGCGCAACTCTGCTGGCCCTGACTTGTTCTTTATGGAAATTGAGAACAAAGTCTAACATGGTAATCAGAAAACTTACAGACTTAAATGCAATTGTCAGAAAGCAAGAGTCTGAAAGTAAATGAAGTAAATACATGTTTAACTCAAAACACTAGGGGAGAAAACCTAAAATAACCTTAAAGGGTGAAGGAACAGAATTGATTTAAAAGCATATTTCACAAATTAAGCAAAGAGTTTGTTGGTTCTTTGGGGACAAACAAACAAGAGTAAAGCAGAAACTACTGGAAAGCCTGGTCCAAGTACAAGGATGTACAATAAAGACTGAGTAGGAAAGCGGGATATTTCCTACACATTAGAAGAAAGTTTAAGTCGTAAAAAGATTTACACCTTAATTCCTTTAAATTGAAATGGAATTGAATATTTTCCAAATAGTAGAAAATATTAATAAACAGCTTAAGAAGATGAAAAAGTTGACTAATAAGACCTACCTCCACTTAGAACACCAGGCCCAAATGATTTTGATGGCTGAATTATGTCTCAAGTCCTTTGTTATTCTGGTTCCAGTGCCTAGAAAAGTATAGAAATCTTTCCCATATGTTCTTTGCAACCAGCATACCCTGATCCTAATAAGATGAAACGAGGTCAGTACCGAAACCCAGACAGCTTAGTACTAAAGATTAGTACACCAGACCAGTCTCACTAGAAGGATGCAGAAAGCATGAATAAAGTTTAAAAGTCTAAATCCGGTAATGTATTAAAGTCATGACCCAGGACCAAGTACATTTTTTATTCTAGGAACACACAGCTCACACTGGATTTAAATAGTGTGGCCGCTGTAAGATAAGATGACAATAATAGGTAACATTTGTTACATAATTACTATCTGCCTATCCCTGTTCTAAGAACTTTATGTATTATTTTGCTCACATCAGCTCAGGAAAAGGCATTTGACAGTATTCAATACCCAGTCCCTTAAACTATTTCTATGTATTATTTCACACTATTTTTATTGCAAATCAGTAGAAAGAGATTTTCATAACTTACAGTAAGGACTTCTACCTCAAAAAAGCAAGGCAGCAGTCCTCATGATAGAGCATGCGTGAATTAGAACCTGGAGATCTTCAGACATAAGCTTCAGGCAATGCCATGCTGGAGACTAAGCTCTGCTTCAGCCCCCTCCAGCCTCCTTGCATTTGCAGGGGCTGTTCTCCTGGACAGAAGTAATGAAAGGACAAGGCCCACGAAGCTGAATTGGGTGCCTCTGTTATCAGCAATGTCATATTGATTACACTGTTTAAAACTTGACATCTTGGCTTTGAGTTGAACAATATCAGCAAATGGAAAAAGAATAGAACTAAAGAGAGAAGATGGAAGTCAGGACTGTGGCAAGTGAGACAAAACAAAGCGCAATTAGTTTAGAGAAAGGCATATTCCTATCTTTCCCTGTTCCACTTCCGTCTCTAATCAGACTCTGGAAAGTAATTGTGAAAACAAACAGGCCTGTATGACCTTAGCAAGGTAGGCAGGCCCCTGTTGATTTAGCTTCGGCCACTGTTAGCTTAAGTAAATAGCCTTGGGTTTGAATTGTAGCTGGAATCAATAGAGAAAAGGTTCAGAATTACCAGATCTATCAGCGTCTGACACTGATTGCCAGACCTGTATCACTGAAACCCAAACCTGTGCCTTTCATTCCTGTTGTCTGCTTTGTTTAATGAGTCCTGGGCAGGGGTTGGCAAACTGTGGCTCGCAAGCCACATGCGGCTCTTCGGGTATGTACATGTGGCTCTGAAGTAAAATTGAAAATGAAAATAAAATTGTCATAGTTTCATTTATAAAATTTTTAAAGGATATTAGTCACATAATGGTGACTTCATTTGTTTCATGGCTTTCGAATAATTTTTAAATTGTTGTGAAGGACAGAATTGGCTCTTTGATCTCAAAAGTTTGCCAACCCCTGGTCCTGGGGAAAAGAGAACAGCTGAAGGCACACAGGCTTTTTTTTCTGTTAAGACATGTTTACACTGGTACCTTTGATGGTTTTGGATGGGAGTAGCCTAAAAAGTTTCTCACATTTGTCCTCAGTGTGTTAGTGCTATGGTAGGAGTGGGGGAAGCCACAGAAATTGAAACAAGCAGGTAGAGTTCTCACTGTGGAGATAATGCTGAGACTAGATGGTGGTGGTGCTTTCCCGAGTGATCCGCTTCAGCCCAGCGCTAGGTCCTAGTGGATGGTAGGGCGCTTACATCTTCCCTCCTTTCTCCAGTACCATGCAGAGACCATCAAGAACGTGCGCGCAGCAACAGAAAGCTTTGCCTCTGACCCCATCCTCTACCGGCCGGTTGCTGTGGCCCTGGAC